AGGAAGCCTTGATGTATCACAGGAAAGAGACACAACAGTAAAAGATTATTTCCTCTATTCTGACTTGAGGGATAGTTGTTGTCCAATTGTCTTTTGCGCACTGGACAGATGCTGAACATGCTCGTACTTGTTCTGGGAATATGCCTGGATGAGGACCAAGAACACAAATACTAGCATTTGCCATGCTGACAATAGGAGTGATGTGTCTCTCCCTGGATGTGCACAAGGGTACAGATCCAGGGGAATTGTGCTGATCTGTCTCGGTAAACAGTGGCTCCCTGGAGATAGTCAAATGCAGACACCGGTAGTGGGAGAAGACATTGATTTTTAATATTATACGGGGGGGGGGGTAATAATCAATACAGCAATAGCGTATGGTTGCAATCGTTTATGCCCACAAAGTGAGGTAGGTGAGGAAAAGAACCACACCCCAGCAGGTTTTTGGATATGTTCTTCAATTTCATTTGCCTTTAGGGTGGAGACAGGCTGATAGTGGAGTCATGCAGTGGTGGATGCAGAGGGCAAGAAATCAATCATTACTTACTGAAGACCTCATATACTTCTTCATGCTCTGGAGACACACTGGTCTAGCTGAGAACTTTGGAGTGGAAAGCAGACCATGGGAGGCCTCCTGGAGAGGTTTTAGACACAAATACTGTGACAATAGAAAACTGATGCAGCTGCCCAACAGTCCATAAAGCCATAAATATCATCGGACCAGGAGACACCCAGGGGAGTGGACCAGATGAAATGAGATCTCCTCCTGGTGACAACCCTCCAGGACCAGGATAAGTGAGATAGCAAAGAGATGAACTAACTGACACCAATGGGCATTGATCAAGGGCAGTGACTTTAATGGCTCCCTCTAGACAGCAATAGAGAATTCCCCACTCCCCATTTGGGAATATGGGATGTTATGGGTACCTAACCCAGTCACAGACCATAATATGAAGGAAATTGAACCATAGCAACAGGTGAATGAGCTTGGTGCCTGAATCACCCCCCCTCTCACCCCACCCCCCACCCAGCGAAACCCAAAGGAACAATTTTTTTTATCTAAATAAGGATTTCATTTCTGGTATTCTATTACTGTAGTGTAATTTGATGGTCAAAATTTTGTTTTGCAAACATCTACTGTGTGATACATGGTTACTATAGCTACGAATGCTGTTTTATATATTTGTTCACTTTTCAAACAAGACTGATTTGGTTAGAAACAAACAACAGGCAACAAAACCTACAAACAGGATTCTGAAGTGTTTCCCCTTGCTGAATGTAAATGTAAAATTCCATTGTCTTTTTATTTTGTTATTTGAGAAGCATTTATACTCTAGAGCAAATCTCATAAAAACTTTCCATCCTAACCCCTTATTCAAAAAAACAAAAAACAAAGTTACACAATTGAAACAAACATTTCCAATGATTTGGATAACTTCCTCTGCTGGAAGCCCTCAAATATATTTTTTTTTCTTGAGAATCTTCAAATGCTTGTGGAGGGCTAAAAGGAGCACAGCGAATTCCTGGGAGGGAATGACTGTCGACAGCCTGTCAAGTTCAAAGGCATCTTCAGAGCAGGACATTACCTCTATTCCTAAAACAGTAAACAATGCAGTCAGACTCATCATACGCATTAGCGAAGCTGATAATAAAAGACGTGATCTACAGTATACAGAAATATGAATAAGCACAGAGATATCACAGTGCAGCAGTTGTGTCAGTCATTTTCTATTATTTATGAAAATCAATTGAGAAACCAACCTCAGGGTAATGCAAATTGTTATTGTGAAAACAATGCATTCAAAATGGCATAATTATGGAGTCATTTGGGGAATGTGAGGAGTTTGAAATGGATCTAAATTTTTGCCATGAGCCATAAGCAGTTTAGACAGTAATGAATGATGTTGTTTGGGATTTTGTAGGAGTGATTGTGGGGTTTTTGGATCATGAACTGTGTGTTGCAGATGCTTATATAAGTCGCGTGGGAAAAAAAAAACACCAGACATTTTCCTCATTCTACTCTCCTACCTGTTTTTTTTTTTTCTCCCCCCTCTGCCTTGCCTCCCTTTCGCTCACCCTCACTTTTCTTTCATCCTCACACCAAGGCACACACATAATAGACATCAATTTTCAAGAATTATTATTACAGTATATATCCACCCACATTTTCAATGACAAATGATTTTCTTGAACTCGTCGACTACTCTCGTTTCATTGTTAAAAAGAATCAATCGTGTTCTAAAGAAGCAGGTGGCAGCCTTAAATAATGCCACAACCCTACTTATCCTGAAGCAACGATGAATGAGAAACTAGAGTATGTGTCTGCATTTGTCAACTTCTGGGTCTTCCTCTACACGCAGCAGAGGAGGCTGAACTCGGTGCCAGTTTGAGAAAATTGGATACACTTGTCAGTTGTAGAGACATCTAAATGTGTGATTAGCCCTTTAATACCTCTGACATGTTTAAAAACAGCTACTTAAATGGAATTACAACAATTTAATCGTGGAAAACTGAGAAGTCTGCCTTTTATAATGTAACGGCGCTGATGTGTCTCTCATGTGCAGAATATGACAGCAAGTAGGAAATTGATGTTGCAAGTTACAGCTATTGCATTTTTTCCACCTGCATGATCAAAGCTGTAGCAGTGATGCATGAATATAGAAAATATGAGACACTCTGAATTGTACCATATTTAGCACAGTTCAAATCTCATTTGAGATGAATATGCATTTAAAATGGGAAACCAATAAGCAGTAATGGCTTTAACCTGGATTTACGTCATATTGTGACCTTATCCATGCCTGGTTGCTATGTTGCAGGCTTTTTTTTTTTTTAGAAATATAAACCAAATGCCAAATCTGGCAAATTAAATGAGCTGATTGTACTGTACCTGCAGAGGGGTTTTCACTCATATTCTGATATCAGTAAGTGGTGCTTCCCATAAAACCTGCTTGGCCGTGTGCCTAAAGTGCCACTGTCCCTTGTGAACTGTAAAAAAAAAAAAGAAAAAAGGGATTCATCTACTGCCCACGGAGGTATCAAGTTGAAGTAGTGCTCTAACTCACCCATAAATTATGAGCCTGGTGTTTGGTTTGTTTGCTCTTGTGTGCCGCTGGTGGAAGACATCGGGGTGGCGCCTCCCTCCTTCTCCTCCTCTGCCTCCCTCCCTCCCACCCTCCCAACCTCCCATCTCACCGCTCCCTGGGGTGTGTCTATGGCAGCGCCTCTCATCTCCACGCCGTGTGTGCGTGTGTGTGTGTGGCGTGCGCTGCTGTTGCTGCCGCCTCCTCCTTCTGCCTCCTATCTGCATCTGCTGCAGAGCTTAGCCAACACGCATATATGCTCTCTCTTGTTTTCTCACTACCTTCCCATTTCTACCCACCAGAAAAAACATTCTGTCTTTTTGTTGTTGTTGTTGTTGCTGTTGCTGATGAAGGAGTCAGCGCACACCTACAGCTGTGGAGTCTGGGTGGGTTGGGGTGGTGGTGATGGGGGGGAGACATGGGGCAGTCACTAGTCGTCCCTTTGGAGTATTGAGGACGGCGGTGAACCGGGGGAGAGCGCCGGATGGGATAGGAGCCGTGAAACCCACATCACTCACCGCGGATTGAGCAAGCCCAATTCCTACCTCCTCTCTCTTCCTCTCTCTCTCTCTCTGTCTCTCCCTAGTCTGCAGCCTCCAAGAACAGCCGCCGCATCATTTTTTCAGAGCAGCAGCCCCCTCCCTACCCCTCCTCCCTCCATCCTCTCTCTTCTCTCCATCTCCCTTTCTGCTGCTTGCACCACTGTGGGAATGCAGCGAAGGTAAACGAATGGTTGAGGCTCCCTTTTTCCTCTTCTTCTGCTTCTTCTTCTTCTCCCACCAAATGCCGGATCTATTATCATAGTGACGGACTGCAGGCAGACAGCTCTGGAGACACACGGGCTGTCACTCCCGGGAAATCAGAGTCGGGTGGTCGGACCTGGATCAGTTGGATTTAGCCCCGCTACTCCGGACACCAGCACCACCCCATCTCATTGGCAGATCAAATCAGATTCCCCCACCCCCCTCCTCTGCCCTGCCTCGTTTTCAGTTTCGGCGGCTTTCACCGGCTTTCTCGCCACTGGATTACCGACAGCTGGAGCGACTGAAAGGGTGGCCGGGCATGGAGAACTAAGGGCTGTTAGAGGCAAACTTGAAGTAGCAGACAAAGACACCTGCGAGAGGAAAAGGAAGCTCTCAGATGTGCGTATAAAAGGTCAAATTAACTCAACTGAAACCTAAGAGAATAACGGAATAAAGGAACAAGCAGTGGTTTGTATTTTAAGGACCTTATGCGGCCGATAATCAAGCAATTGAGAGTGGAGAAGGGTGCTGCCGTAGCCTGGGTTGTTGATGTACGCACGCTCACACGCACATGGATTTACAGCTCCAGTCTGAAGCTCACCAAGCAGCGGATCGATATCCTTCTCCGTTTTTTTTTTTCTTTTTTTTTTTTTTTTTTTGCGTCGGCTTTTTTTTTTAACAAGGGAGTGAAGCATCCTGGGATTTATCATCGCTTCGTTAGCGCTGAACTACAGTGAGGCGCCCCCTCGCTTCGCTCTCTCACCTGTCCATAACCTGTGTGCTCCTGTGGAAGTGTGTAGATATTCTTGTGCATATTTGTGTGCGTGTGTGATTGTGTGCGTGTGTGCGTGTGTGTGTGTGTGTACGCATGGGTATGCTTGGTTTGTTGTCCGCCAGAGGGAGTGTAGGTTATATTGCTTGTGTATGCATTTAAGTGCTGTGCCAGCTTTTAATTAGTAGTACGTGACTGTGAATGATTGTGTCTGCTTGTGCTTGAGCATAAGTTCATGTTTTACATTTGTGCATATAGATATATAGGCTAGACGTTGTGTGGGTACTTACTTAAGATGCCCAGCATTTCTTTGGCACCACATCCCCTTCCTCGTGTATGCCCTTGTGTCATTTGGCCACCTGTTTGACCTCCTGAACACCCTAAGAGACGAAAAGCTCCAGCAGGATGAGTGAGCGCTCTGGTGCGAGCACTCTAGCAGCGATGACGCTGGAGGAGCCAGGGGCTGAACAGGCATCTCCCCGAGCCCCGGGCCCTCTTCGTTGTGGCCCTTGTGCTGTGTGGCCTCGCCAGCAGACCTGGCTGTGTGCCGTGCCCCTGGTAATGGGCTTTGTGGGACTGGGACTCAGTCTCATGCTGCTGAAATGGATTGTGGTGGGATCTGTCCAAGACTATATCCCCACTGATCTGGTGGATCCTAAAGGTAGCATTGGACAGGACCCTATATTTCTCTCCAAACCCAGTGCCATGCCCAAGGGGCCCGACATTTCCACCGCCACCACTACTTCAGCTGCCTCTACCACAGCAATGGTGTCTACTACCACGCCGCTAGCTGCGGATGGTACTGCCCCAGCACCAAGAACTCGATCAGGGCCGTCAGCAAACCACTCAGCCAATGGCAGCACTGTCAATGGAGATGGCAACCGTGCCCCACACCTTCACAATCGTGTTAGCAGCCGCACTAGTGGTACTGTGGTTACCACCTCCACCACTCGCGCCACCCGACTCACCCCACCACTCAGCGGTAAGGAGGTCACCCCTCGCAGCACAGTTAGAAAAGGAGGCAGTGCTGGAAATGGACAAAACGGAGCTGCCAACCCAAAGCCAGGACAGACTTCTGCTACCATCACCACCACAGCATCCACTTCAACTACCGCTACTGTAAAGAACACCGCCAAGGTGCAGCCGACCACCTCTCAGCCGGCAGCTCCGGTCAAACCCACGTCACGCTGGAATCACGGGCGCCCAGGCAAGGGCCCCGCCACACGCCCACACCACCGCTTCCGAACACGTAAGTCCATTTTCTTGGTTGGAGTCGGAGGTATGGAGTTGTATGAGTGATTGCAGTTGTGTGAGGTTATCTGTGGAACTTGAGATGAGTGTATCATAAGAGCTCTTTTCTGGGCCTTCATGGCAATAATAATAGTATGTCACTATAGCTACCAGTTATCAAATATAACTGTATGCCTGGGTAAAAAAAAAAGTGCTTTGATATGACTCATGGTCTGAGAATATAAATGATTTCTCTTTATATCTACATGGAAAGTGGATACTCCGGCAGCTTAACATTAATCGTATTCATTAGCACAGAGAGATATCAGGGGATATTCTCAGTATTTTCACCCCTCTCGTCTTTATCTTTTACTTGTGCATTAATCCGATATGAATCTTACCTCCGGAGGAGTTTTTTTCACACACTAGTTTAAGTACCATTAAAAGGCATGGTTCCATCTAGTAGAATTTAGTTTGTTTTGTCTGTTGGAGTTGGGATGTTAAAGCTATGTGATGTGTGCTGTGACCAAGGATGGCATGTTTGTGTTATGAAAACAAATAACAAGCGCTGGTAAGGTGTCGAAGTGGGAGAAAGGTTAGCTCTCACCCCCTGTCTAGAGGAATCAGATATAGCAAGGCCACACATCCCATTTAGATGAGAGGATACTTGGAGCAGAGTGTCGCAGGTACCGCTTTCACACTGCAGGGAGAGGGAGAGAGGGAGAGAGAGAAAACGAGGAGGCTCAGAGGGGAAAATAGATATAGGGAGCAGAGGGTGGATAGGACAAGTGGAAATAGACGAGGTAGGATATAGGGGGGGAAAAAGGGGGGAAAATGCTTTGAAAAACAACATAAAGCTGAGGAGGATGGCGAAGGGAGGAAGAGAATGCGGGAAGCATAACAAAGCAGGAGAATGAAGAGTGGGAGCTGTGAGTAGAGAGATGGCAGATGGAGTGGGCTAAGTGAGGGAAAGGCTTGAGGGAGATAGAGGGTATAAAGCAGGGGAGCTGTGAATTTTGCATATTTAGCATTGTGTAAAGAAGGAAGGCTTCCTGATTATTCATTCCACAAGGGACATGTTTTTAACATCACAAGGTATTTTTTTCAGATGTGGGCGGGGCAGGATGCGAGTGTAATCATGAGCAATGACTGGATATGACGACGTGGAATTTATTTATTTTTCTCAAACTCGGGGTGCTCTGTTGTGTTGGAACATAACATTGCATTTGCAGCTTTGATTTAGTACTCCCTTTTGGCTCACAGTCATCTCAGTTATGTTGCATATTCACCTTAGGTTACTAAAAAGGCAAAGGCTCCAGTGACAAACAAGTACTGTGATCAACATATCACAGCTAAAATATGGGCGAAATGGATTTACCATGGGAGCGAATTATGAAAGTTCTTTTCTTTTCAGCAAAGTGCTCTAGAGGGCAGTGGCAAAACATTAAAATGAAAGCTGAAACCATTTCCTCGCATTTCTGGTGTGGATCATATGTTTGGACAATGGTTCCGGTTGAGTACATCCTCTCGTTTATCTGCTGGATGCGTCAATGGCATCGATTCCGCAAGCAAACAGTGATCAAGTGACATCATTTTCTTCTTCTTTACCTCAGGGCAAAAATATTTTCAGCATAGCTGGTTGGACATTAGATATTGAACCATCTGTACTCTGTTGGCAGCTGCATGGTTGTGGAGAAAATAACTTTCTAGTTTCCCCAACTGAAGGAGAACATGGGCTGTGATCAGCCTGAATTCAGCCAGCAACACTGATGGTGACAGAAGTACAGACGTATAGAAATGCCCATAGATTATCCTCAGACTCCTCCTGCAGCTTAATCCTCTGCTCCAGAGTCAATTACGTCACTCAACAAAGAGCTGCTAAACAGCTGAAAGCTGCCAAACCGGGCAGCCCCCTTGTGTGAACATCAGGAAGCATCTGTTTGTACTGTATACTATAAAAGGGCGCTGGCCTCAAAAGCTAAAGCATACTTAGTAAAACTGCCCTCGGTTAATAAAAGCCTTCAGATGGACAAATAAATTTCATGGGCAGCTGATGTTTTTGATAGGTCTCCAGCCTACATGTTGACATCATGCAGAGTGGCCTGACATTTTGGCTCACTTGTTGAATCGTTATCCCTGTGTCTAATGAATATCTGTCAGGCATTTCACAGACACCAAAACACATCTCGCTATGCTCGGTGATTTTTAAATCAATGGGGACATTTTTTAGTAAACTCTGTGTCGTCATGTTTAAATGAAATCCACAAAAGAAAATTCCTGGACCCTTTGAACCTTGAATCTAGAAACCCTAATGAAAGCTGTAAACTCTCATCCTCTTTTGTGTTTGTTAAAAACATCACCATGGCAGCTAGAACTGTGACCGCTCTATGGTAAGCACTGGTAATAACTGATGACGTCAATGTCAGTCATAAACACCTTCCTGCAAAAACAGCGATATTTGTAGAAACCAATTCTGTGATTCTGCACCTGTCTGCTGCTACTTGTAAAAGACCATTGACATCTTCAAAGCAATGAGTAATGTCATAGTTAACAGCCTCACTAGAAAGTTATAGCAGTATTAAAGTTGTTGTTAACAATGTATAAAAGATGTTGATAACTGTCATGGCGTGCCAGTTTAGTAAGGGGATTTTCCTTTAAGATCTTTAAGGAACTTTAAGGAGAAAAAGTTCTCTTTTTGCAGGGAATGTCAACTCTGACACCGCAATACTCACTTCATATATACTTAACACAGTGTACATGATATATATCATTAACATTATGTCTGACAGGATGTGGCGTTTTCAGATGACATTTCAACAATTTGATGTTTTGTTGAGGCATCTCTTTGTACTTTGATATTTTGCTGAGGGTCTCACTCAAACACTGTCTATTCTAATGGCCCAGGGTCTGTGCATGAATGCAGTGTGTTCATTGATGACTAAGTTTATTGTTCCAAGTATTATTCGATGTTTGTGGCAGAAATCAAGTTTAGTTACTTTGTGACAGTTCCTCTTGTTCATAACTGCAGCTGTAAATCCATTGATTTATAAAACAGACCATTAAATTATCATACATTATCACTTTCAGTATTCGTGAATAATTTGCATAGAATTCAAACAACACTAAAGTTTCTATGGCTGGAAATGAACGCTCCGAGTTCACTGCAGATTCCTACCACTGCTATTGCTTATTGTATTCTGTCAAATCAAGGCCCCATTGTGTGTTTGATGGCTTCATGTTGCTATGTTATTCTACCCTGTGGCTAGTTTTGACACTGTTGCTATGGGTTAGAATAATAAAGCATCCTCTTTACTTGATATTACTTTCTCACCACTCCTGTGCTGCTAATATGTATTTCATAACCCTTGTGTACAGCATTTATATTATATGCACAACACTAACACTGTATTCTTGAGGGCAACACTCAGCCTTTTATGAAGCTAACTCCAGAGGTGCGGCAGTGCAGCCTCGTCTAAAGCTTGCTTGTATCGAGCTTACTGTAATACAATGTAGAGTTGAGCAATGCAGCGTATTTAAAGTGTAATGATACACAGAAAACGTCTCTGCTGATGATGAAACGCTCTGCAAAACATGGCTTCAGGTGCGGTCTTGGGTTTTAGATAATTTGGACTGCATATAGGAGGCAGTAACATGACTTTTTTCCCCCTCTCTGCTCATTGCTATTGCTCCTGCAGCTTGGTGAAGAGCTAAATGAATCTCTGTGTCCTGGAAGAAAGACAAGCTCTGTCCGTTGGGGATAATGACATATTTTACCTACTCCTTTTGTCTTCTTTTTTTCCCCCTCTCTCTCCCCCTCTCTCCCTCTTTCCCCATGGTTATTGTGTCTGCTCTCGGTGTCATTGTATTCCACCGTCTATTTTTACTTTGCTTTTGTGCTTTCAGTCCTCTTTTATACGTTACCTCCTCAGCTCGCATTCATGAGCATATGGGCACATGCAGAAAAACTGGCACACTTGTGAACACAAAGACAAGCATGTAGCATATGTGTGCCCCTACTCATGAATCTATCATCTGGTTTTCTGTATTTGAGGCTATTATGTATCTGACTCTACTCTCTACATGCAAGCCCCATTGGCTCAGAAGTAGGGAAATAACAGACGAATGGAGCGGTGCACAATGAATGCCTGTTGGGAAACCATGGGACGCTGTGTTGGCTCGCGGCCCATCACACTCTCTCCTCGGCTGTAAGAAATCTTCCTTAGTAAAGCGTTGTTGTAATTCCCTGCACATCCCACTAGCCTGATTCCAGACTTGTGAATTGCCAGCCACATTTAAATTCAAAGGTCTGGTGTTGCTCTTTAACTGATTCAAAGGCTGTTTCCCCAGTTGGGGGGTAAAACAAACCGAGTCAGTCAGAGCCTTTTATGGGTGGGACTCATTTTGGGAATGTCACCTAACAGAATACAAGGAAAGTGACACAGCTATCAAGGCTGCTGTAAATCAACTGACTGAAACAACAGCTATTAAATCAGAACAGCTGTGCACTTACGGCATAAAAAAAAAGAAAAAGGATGAAAAAGTGTTGTTGCTGCTTTCCCAATGGGTTTAATTTATCAGCTGGCTCCTTTGGCACTTGAGGAAATGAATCGGGAGGATGCAGTGCTTATAGTTGGTCCAACATGTTGGAACTGTCTGTTCAGAGGGTTTTCTTCACGGTCTGCAGGCAACAGAATTGTTAAGTTTGTCACCACTTCTTTATCCTATACAATAATTTAGCATAAACAGCTTTGATTAGCATGATAAATGGCACGCTGACTTTTCTTAGCCAGAGTCTGTGTTGCCTAAAAACGATGTTGGCAGATGGATAAATAGTCACTGAGATTGGTTAGTGCAAAATAAACTCCCTCCCAAACAGAAAACAGCTTAACAGTGTCAAACTGAATACTGGGGTGGTAACGAAATGGCATTTCAGTCTGAATAACATGCTGGCATCATACAGTTATGAATTCAAAAGCCCAGTCAGATATTGTGCCACAGCTGATTTTTTTCTTTCAGACA